TGACCTGTCACTGGGGCATGTACTTAAGACTGATAGAGCAGAGAATAAATTAGGGAATCTCAGGATAGTAAGATTAAGTCCTTTAATGTGTTGCTTATGATCAGAGGCTTAATGAAAAGGTATTGGCTTCTTGATGGGCTTCTGTTGATACTGAAGTGATTTTTAAAAATGAGAAGGAGTAATTATCCTCTCTTTCCTGATGAAAGTAGAGGGAATCTGTTGACAATTGGAGAATATGACACCAAGGCCCACAGGTTGCTGCTAGTTGCCTGACAGATGTTGCCTGGGTTCTGGGTCTGAGTTCTTTGAGAGTTGCTATCTGACGATGACATATGCTCTGCAGTTCCATCTCTCTGGTGGTTGCTGTGAAATCCAGACTGCTGATCTCAACTTGTGTTACTCAGTTCACTTGTTAGCAAGTTTAGCTAGTGCCAGAAATGCTATGAAAATAATTAGGTGCCTCACTTTACATATGCAAAAGCAATTAACTGTCATTAGTGCCTGACATTCCTCCCAACTGCCCAAAGAGGTGAGTCAATGTCATCACTATTCATTAGGAATTAATTAGACTGTGCTTGATGATGTCAGTTGTGGACAGGGTTGGGAATTCAGCACTGCCTTCCTCTCTACAACTGTGGAATGAGAGTATCAAGCTCACACTATCCACTCATCTGGAGAAGTGACTCTGAGATTGAAATTCTGTGAAGTATGTGACTTTGGGTAACTTATTTAGGTCACTGGACCTTTTAAAAATAGAAATAATACCCAAGGGGGTCAGTTCAGTTGCTAAAGATCTGAAGGCAAAAGCTTTTGTCATTGTGCTTAAAATCTGGTTCACCCAAAGGACAGGGAGTGTGGATTTGAGTTATCAGGTCATACTGGAGGTGAAGCTACTTTTCCTTGTCTTTTTGGAGGGCAACATTTCTCCTAAGAGAAAAATTTGGGCTTTCAATAAGATCACAGTGACCTACAAACCATGAAATGCATGGTGGAGTTGTATACTAAATACTTCTCCAACTCTGTGACTCATGTTTAAACCTTGCAAAGGCTCCTGCCATGTCTGCTCCTGACATCTCCTGAGCTGGTAGACATCTTTGTCTTAGCTCTACTTCCATTTCTACTACCCTACTCACTCATATTTGCTTTACCAGTTTCTGTCCCTTTAAATTTCTTCCATGGCCATTTGAATGGCTTCTGTCTGGGCTTTATTCTTTTACCATTTTTCCTCCATTTTAGCTGTTACCTCTGGCTATCACTTGTTCTCTATTAGTCAAAAAGAAAGAGAATAAAGAGTTAAAATATTTTCCTTAAAATAACATTTGTAATACAAAGAAACTTAAAGGATCCAATATTGTTTCTCTTAACACAGAAAAACTATTACTTGTCAGTGATAACCATTGGATACAAAAGAAATTGGATCAGAGAGTCAACTTTTCATGATTCCAACTTAAATTTTCCAGGTCTTGCTATGTAACCCAGGCTGGTCTTGGACTCCTCTCAGCCTTCCAATGTTGGTATTATAGGCATGTACTATCATGTCCAACCCTAGTTGAGTCTTCACACCAACCCATACATAACCTTACCTCCTGTACTTTGCTTTTCATTGACTGAAATGAGGGGAAGCTGACTACCATGGCTAAGAATGTAAGGGAAGACACAAGTACAAATATTACCCATACAATCTACTTGACTAGACAGGGTTTTGTGTTTTTTTTTTTGGACAGGATTTTGTTATGTAGCTCAGATTGGCCGCAGATTCTCAGTCTTGCCTGGGATTACAGGTGTATGCTACCATGTCCAGTTAATTACATCATCTTGTTAGTGATAAGCAGGTGCTAATTGCTATACATTCAAAATTGGGTCACAATGAGTGGTAGTTAACTAGTTCCACATGTTTTTCAGATACTTAAGTGTGGCTGGTCTTCTCAGAGCTGCTAGCTAGCTGTAGGGAAAGTTTCCAGGATGAGGTGGATTTTGAGCTGAGGAATGGAATGCCAGAATAGTTATTTTGGTATCTGGTACCGGAGCTTCTTTTAGCCAGCTCCAATCTTGTGATCGGAAACTCTCTGCCCATACAGGGCTTCATCTTACAATTGGGTTGTAAAACCAAGGCCTGAGTAGGTATGTGGATTATGTATCTAGTGGTTTATGGGGCTTTGTGCTGGTTCATAGCCAGACAAGGTAATTCCACCCTGCTGAGCTCTAGTTGACTACATTGCAAGAGCATGGACACAGTATTCCTTTTTCAGCAAATGAATCAAAACATGGCAACATTTAGAAGAGCGTTCATGCTTCCTGAGTAGTTAGATTAATTAATACTCACTAGTGTTATATTCTCTAAAAAAAAAACCAAGGACGTGGGACTCTTAATCTTAGAAACAACTTTAAAAAGGTTATCGATATATGTTAAGGGTTGTGGACAAATGAATCCGTTTATGAAGGGTGTGCAGAGAGATTGATGTCTGGTCTGGCCTTTAGGAGCCTGAGGATGTTTCCTGTCATACCTAAATGGGTGTTGAGATTAGCTCTAAGGGGTGAATATACCCTCAAGGGACAGATGGATAGAAGTTGACAGATGGGTAAAAGTTAAGTCAAGACATGAATATTAATCTCAATAATGGAAGTATTTCAAAATGCATTGTGAGAGTGAGCAACACTGAGGAGATAGTAATTCATTTTTGTTAGTGCTATTTAGGCATACACTGGCTATGAGATGTTTTAGAAGGATCTTGAAGCATTGTTGTAAGATGTTTTGGTCTGGAGGCTGTGGCTTTCAGCTGCATGGTAAAGTTGATTGAAGACAAACAAAGATCTTGTCCCTTGTGTTAGCCTTCACTATCCAAGATTCCAGTCCTCCCCTATGTGGCTTCTACTACATATCTTAAAGCATGGTTCTTTGGAACTTAAAACATTCTTCTGTCTGAGCTGCTCAGGGCTCAAGGTCTGGCCCATGATTCTATATGTCTGTATTGCTTTGTTTTTGTTTCTTGGTTTACTTGAGAAGTCAGGCTAACCACTGCTGAAGAGTCCCCTCTTGTTCTGCTCAAACAGACTCAAGGGTGGTGTGCAGTTCAGCTTGAATTTTATAGGACTTTTAGATCCCAACACAAACTGTAATACTTTGAGAATTCAAAAGGCTCACACTGCAGTCATTGTAGAGTTCATCTGGGGGTCAGTCACAAAACCCTTTCTTGTGGCATAATTTATACTTTAGCATTTGGCAATTTTTGAAGTCCTGTGTAAATGTACATGTGGTGGTAGGAGTAGTAAATATTTTGCTGACAAATTCTTTGATGGATCAGTAGTTAGCATTTAAAGCCAGGCAACCAAGGGTCGTTTTCTCTTTATAAAAATCTAAATGTTGCCAAATCAAAAAACCTGTCAGGGTGAGAAGCCAAAAGCACCCATTAGTCAGACCATTGATTTTGCAATCTGAATGTGCTTCAGAGTGTTTATACCTGAGATCTGTGGAGATAGGCTGGGAAGCTCAGGGGACAGATTGGGAGGGGGCAGAAGGCTTATTGCTCTCATGTGATGGCCCTGGAATGTGGACTAGGCCACCCAAACCTGCTTTTCCTCTTGGTGCCTTTGGAATATTGAGTGTATTTGAGGGGGCGAGAAAGGTAGGAGCAGTGGCCACATAATTTACCTACTCAGGCTCTATGCCTCTCTCAGTCAATCCCCAGGAACAATTCTTTTCCCTCTTCTTGAGAGGGCTTTGAGTTAATGATCTGATGTCCTTTCCCACAAAAGAATATTGATATGTTAGTGTGAAGACAGCAGGGAGTACTGGATTAGATCATTTTCACACTAGTGTTATGCCAGTGTGACATTTGTTTAGAAAGCTTATCCTTTGTGATCATAGGTTATATGCAAAATGCAAGAAGGAAGATTTCTTTGAGTTCTATAATCTTCACTGCTACAGGAAAATAAATGAAAGACTTCACAGTTTCTTGTGGAGAACAGTTCCACAAGTGTGTCAGACATTTGTGGTAGGTGTTGAAGGAAAAATGGAATGACAGTGACTTTTGGTACCTACTTTTTAAGATTCAAGAGATTGACAGTGGCCAAGTTAGCTCAGGGTGTAGTCAGGGTAAGATCCTGAAACATAAATGCCATAGTACTGGTCAGCTTGCATTGGTGATTAAGTAGGATGAGTAATTGTGATAATAGAGTCTATCTATTCTCTTCTTGGTTCCTGCTACCCTCTTGCATCTTGGTGATCTCCTATTGGCATGGTTTGACCATTTATTTAAGATACCAGTTATAGACTGGAATTGGTGTATTCCTAGCTACTCAGGAGGCTGAGATCTGAGGATTGTAGTTTGAAGCCAGCCCCGGGAGGAAAGTCTGTGAGCTTCTTTATCGCTAATAAACTACTCAGAAAAAGCTGGAAGTGGCACTGTGACTCAAGTAGTAGAGCACTAGCCTTGAGAAAAAGAAGCTCAGGGACAGAGGCCAGGCCCCGTGTTCAAGCCTCAGGATCCCCCTCTCTCCCAAGATACCAGTTATTACAATAAGGTTGACATCTTTTACTCTTCCCCTTTAAAAAATACCTTTAAGTAGTGTAAGGAGGTTTTAATTCACCATGTGAGTTTGAGTACAGTGTTATCCCTTTCATCATTCTCCCCCATCATTTTGTTATAAATAGCTTGTTATGCTATGGAAACTTGGCTTTCATTGATCAGTGTGCCCCCTAGTAGATAGTAGGCACTTGGTAAATGGTTTTCAGATGAATCTCTGAAGGCCTGTAACCAAGAACGTACTATCCTTGGAAGAAGAAATCTCTTTGGTGAAGATGATCCAATCTCTGCCTACTGTCTTAATAGGAGTGTTGCATACCATATATATATGTGGAGTTCAAAAGCCGCATGGATCTCAAAATTTTTTAAGAGTTATTCTGTAAGAAAAACTGGCAACTGAAACTTGAAGTAGAACTAGCAAGAGCAGCATGTTTGTGGTTACCATGTTCTTATACTATTTTGTGATTTCTCTTCAAGGTTTATTTTCTTGAAAAGACTCCAGGCTTTGGCTTGGAAAATCCAACCGCCAAAATTGAGCCCAGCAGCTGGAGCGGCAGCGAAAGCCCTGCCGAAAACATGGAAAGGATGAGTGACTCTGCAGATAAGCCGATTGACAACGATGCGGAAGGGGTCTGGAGCCCTGACATTGAGCAGAGCTTTCAGGAGGCGCTGGCTATCTACCCGCCATGTGGGAGAAGAAAAATCATCTTATCAGACGAAGGCAAAATGTATGGTAAGTGGCCTGGAACACTCCTCTGAAATCCTACAGCCTGCTGTGTGTGGTGGCAGGGAATGGATTTAGCTGGCCTTCTAGCGAGCTTTATTTATTGTGTTGTGTTGGATGATCTTTGCAGAATTATAATTCATCATCCAGGGAACTAAAGAGGAGAGTCAGTAAAAGACCACTGGGAAATCACTGCCTTGACTCTTCCAAGTTCTTCATTGCACATAGGCTCTGTCTAAAGGGAATTCTGCCACTTAGTTCCAGATAACTGGTGCTATGGAGCAATGGGGACTGTTGCCATCAGATATCTTGATTACTTCTCCCTTGCTCGCACACACACACACACACACACACACACACACACACAAAATACTTCATAATCTAGATGTTTATATGAAATCTACCTTAAAAAAAAGCCATCACTTAAAAAAACCCCACAAAAACCTTGTGCAGGTCAAGATAAAACACATGCTGGGCGCAGGTGGCTCACGCCCGTAATCCTAGCTACTCAAGAGGCTGAGATCTGAGGATTGCTGTTCAAAGCCAGCCTGGGCAGGAAAATCTGTGAGACTCTTATCTCCAATAAACTACTAGAAAAACTGGAAGTAGCGCTGTGGCTCAAGTGGTAGAGCGCTCACCTTGAGCTGAAGAGTGCAATGACAGCACCCAAGCCTAGAGTTCAAGTCCCATGACCGACCAAAAAAACAAAAACAAAAAAACAAAAAAAACACACGTGTAGGCTTCATCAGACCCCAGAATAGCCATTTGTAGCTCAGCTGTTGGTTTGCAGTTGAGTGGTTAGAAAAGACATTCCCTCCTTCCTCAAACCCCAGGGTATTCTCCCTAGTTTCCCCTTTTAAATACTGGCATCTTACAGTATGAAATGAAGGAAACTCCAAGGTGCAGGAGGCTGAGAACAGTTCAGTAGATGGCCTAGCATCCAAAGGCAGCAGCAACAAGTGCCCACCCACTGGTCCTGACTAGCCTGAGATTGGCTAGTTTGGGCATTCCCTTTTTCTTCTGTAAATGCTTCCAGCTGAAGATGTGTACTTTTTGGCTGCTTACCTTTTGGGAAACAGATGGCAGGTGATTACTTGTACATACTGCTTGTCTTAATTGGGCACATTGAGTTGACAGAGTTTGCACTGTAGCAGACTCTAAAGAGATGCAAGCAAATAACCTAAACTCAAGGAGAACTGGCTCAGCAACTGTCTGAGGTTGTTAACTTATTACAGGAGTGATTTATTTCTAAGTAATTTCAACTCTTCTCCATAATAGGGTGTTGTACTTTTAATCCTGCACTTCTCTATCAGGAGCCGTAGGAGGCTACAGCTCAAACTAGCAGAGGCTGCTGAGGGGAAAGCAGATGGTGGTGCAGCTGCCACCAGCTGTGCCCCCGCCTGCCCTCCCCTTCCAACATGGATGATGTAATGGAAACATGGACAGTTTTGCTTTCGGCAGTATTAGAGCCTCTCAGCCTGTCATACCAGGGGTGAGGAGGGAGAGAAGGGGACCCGAATCTTCAGCATTGTTTTAGAGTCTCTTGATCTTTTGTAGTCAAAGAATCACCTTTGTTATCTAGTGAAATGGAGTAAGGATGAAACACCTTGGCTGCTGTGGGTGGACAGTTTCAGGGCCTTAGGTGGTGTATGTCTGTTTCTCTCTCAGGCTTTGGGTCCTGTGCATGTTCTCAGAAGCTTGTCTTCCTACCTGAAGATGAAGCTCCTGTCTTTAAAAAGCACTTTAATCTTCAAGCCTTTTTTGAAGATGACTTTATTGCATGTACTGAAGGGTGGCTTTGGGACACTACCTTGTCCAGCTCCCACTTACTTATCCATAAATTGTTTTAATCTAAAATAATAGTATTATGCCAAGCACTGGTGTCCCATGCCTGTAACCCTAGCTACTCAGAAGGCTGAGATCTGGATTGTTGAAGCCAGCTGGGGCAGAAAAGTCCCATACGACTCTTATCTCCAAGTGGGGCTGTGGCTCAAAGTGGTAGAATGCTAGCCTTGAATAAAAAAAGCCTAGGGACAGTGCCCATGCCTAGTTTAAACCCTATGACCAAGGGGAATTAGATTATAATGGTATTAGATGGTGATTAGAATAATTTTTGCACTGTGTTTCTTCTCACTAGGAATACCAACTGCCCCTTCTGGAGTGGACTGAGACATAATTAAGAGCAAACGTTAATTTTTTCTGTAGCTTCTCCATTAAGATTTTTCTTTTTAGATAGCCATGGTAGATTTAAACAATTTGCCTGTAAGTCAATCATAAAAGCACTTTTATGTAAAAATAATTGTGTGATAGCTCTTGTGTTGGGAGCTAGATTTTAGAGGCAGCAGGCTAGGAAACTGAACAATGAGAGGTTTTGGATTTTAGTTATTTGATGAATAGTGAACTTAAACCGTTTTATACTTGGTCCTCTTTTCAGTTTTTCTTCAATAACAATGGTAAAGAAGATGTTGTGAAAGTATTCTTGAGACATTTCCATGTTGTGGTGCGGTGTATAGTTCTTGTAGTACTTTTAATTCAGTCAGATGATCGTTTATTGGGAAATGTGGTGTGTGTTTAGGAACATGTCTTTAGCACCCTAGATAACTCAGATTCTGAGTGCTTCCTGGTTGTACATATTTTTGTAGTATTTATTCCTTTGCCTTAAGTCATAGCTACATTTACTGACTGTATTTGTGGCCAACCTGATTTAAGATGAGACAGTCCTTTTGAAGGAGAGGCAGTAGGAATTTTAGCTGCTTGTGAAGAACAGTCTTGCTGATGTAGATTTTCAGTAGGTAGTCCATACAGCCTGCAGGATTTTGGTTCCCTATTGTAGTTTAAGATGGTATTTGGGTTCTGGCCCTGCAGCTACCCCCATCTCCCTGGGAGGAAAAACATCCCATTTGCTTCCTTCTCTTTGGTTAACTTGGTTGAATTTCTACTGCTGCCTTAAAGTGAAACACAGTAGTTGGCTGGGTTCTGGAAAGTGGAGAATGGCCCTCTTCAGAAGAGAATGCCGTATGTGCCTGAGAGCTGCCTCTACCCTTTTCTGGGACTCTGAGGATGAGAGAAAGTTGATTTGGGAGCTTCTTTAGTGAGGTCAGCAGTGTGAGGGCCAAAGCTACTGTTCCTTGGCTTCTGGCCTGTTCTACATCATATAGACATGAATCAGGACACAAACCAGACCAGGAATCAGTGGTTCTAAAGATCATAAGAGCCTACTTTTTCACTAAGGGATTTGAAAATGAAAGTATTGTAAGCACTTGGGATTCTATATAGTAAAATCAAAATAATTCCATGAGTGAAATACCAAGTAGTTTTTTTTGTTTTTTGTTTGGTTTTGTTTTTAATTCCTCCCCCCTCCCCTTGAGGGAGGGACCTCAAAGGTCATTATTCCAGTATTTCTGAGCATTTGTAGAGTGCTTTGTGATGTCACTAAACCTGAGCCATTGGTAAAGCAAGGTCAAGTGATTTATTTTAGTAATGAAATTTCCTTCCTGGTTGACAGTAGAGCAAATGCAATCTTGGGGGAAAAATGGAATGCTCTTTTATGATGATGAGATAGCTAATTTCTCTCTGTTACTTTGGTCTTTGGGGCATCTGAGACTTTATGTAGTTGGTCTATATGGATAGATTGCATTTGCCTTGGGCTCCCTAATGTATATTAGTTGTTCTTACAAGATTATTAGATGGAAGGGTTAAGACCACCTTTAACTTTGTCCCTAAGGGCACATTAATGCTTGCTGCTGTGGGCTTTCTCTTTTCTGTTTGTCTTTCCCTTTCATTTCTTATCTTATTTTTGCATAGTTGGGTGTTTCTTTTTCTGGTAGATAGTGGGGGAGGAGATGGCAGGAGGACAAGATGAGAGAGAAGTTCTTAGTCAACAAGCTTCTCTGAAATTGGATTTTAGGGGAGTAGGACATAGTTGAAAAGAAGACAAAACAAAGCAGGGAACCATGGGGATACCTGCATCTACTTCTTTCTTTAATTAAACACACCAGACTTGTAAGGTGGTTAGACACTTTCCAAATCAAATGAAGGTTCACATAGAAACTTGTTTTTATTGATTGTTGGCCCTAAGGGCAGGCACAGCCTTTTATAATTTGGAGTTTATAATTAATACAAATCCTGGTCCTGCACTTGCAGAGCTCAGACTTTGGACAAGTTTCCTTACTCCTCAATATCTCAACTTCCTCAGCTGCAAAAGAGAGTTAAATAGATCCTACTTTATAGGACCATCATAGAATTAAATGAAGTAATTGTGATATGGGACATCCTTCCAACTTCAAATTTGAACAGCAGCTGGCATACAGTGAGGGCGACATAAGTATTTATGAGCTGAAAACAAAGAAGTATTCTTTGTCTTGTACTATGCTAAAGGTTTTAAATATAATTTCCAACTAATGCTCCGAACAGTGCTCTGAGGTGGTGATCCCCACTTATGGATGGGGAGGCTGACAGGGGTAACATGGCTTCTTGCAGTTGGGCATTGAAGATGGTGCAACTAGAAAGTTCTAAATCTAGATCTCACTAGTCTGGGGTCTTCCCACTGGATTTTTTGTTTTTTCTTTGATACAGGCTATTGGGCATCATTTTGACAAATCATCATTGAGCACCACCTATATTCCAGTTCATTGCTTAGGATTCGTAAGGGATACTATAAACCAGACTGACACAGTCCCTGCCCTCATGGAGCTGTCACAAGTTCATTTGCAAGAAACTGACCTGAGGTCAGGGCTATGTGCCAAAGATTTCTGGGAAGGCTGAGGGCTCTTTGAAGATGATCACCTTCCACTTAGTCTTTTGAAGCCTGTTCTTGGCTATCAAAGTCCAGGACACCTGGCCTGAGGCTGGAAGGAAGAGAACATCTCAAATAACATGGCAGAGAGGATGCAAATCACAAGGCTGGCCCCAGTAGTAGCCAGGAAGATACTTGGAAGGGTCTAGTGCCTTAGGACCCTATGAGCAAAATAGGCCCAGGAATTGCTAGACAATTATAGTGATATTCTCCC